TCAGCTTGTCTGGCTGATGCTCTGGGGGGAGCTGTTCTCAGGGGAGGCTGCAGCACCACTCAACGATGTGCTATCAACCAAACCTGCAGGGTGGGCCCTTTCAATTTTCTGTGCACTTCAGCTTCTGGCGTCGGCTCACCCGAGTCGGATTTTCCGCTCGCCCCGGTGCTTCCCCCCTCCTCATCATCATCACCATCACCACCATCATCCGCATCCTCATCATCATTTTCATGATCACCACAATCATGATCCTCATCCGCATCCTCATCAGCATCAGCATCACCATCATCAGCATCATCGTCATCACCATGTTCATCATCACCATAAAAAATAGCATCATTAACATCAGCACAAACATCATCAGCATCATCATCCCCATAATCCGAATCATCCTCATCACGAGTCGCCCTGGCGAAGCTTCAGCCCCGTTGAAAGTGGCGGGTGCCACTGGCAACGCCAGGACATTGGACCCCGCCAGTGTTCAGCGATCCAACAAGACCAGCATTAGCACCATCGTTAAGATCCAGCCCCTCGACATGTCGTTTCTCGAGCGTCGGTGCGCAGTGGTGGGCGCGCAGGAATATCGCATCCAAGGCTCGGCCTCCGTTGACCCAGTCCGTTATCACGCGAACACCTCCGACGCGAAGCCTTATAGCTTCCTTCGGGTGCATAAAGCTGTCTCGGCGAAGAATCGGCTCGCGGAGCCAAGGATCGCTCTCAGACTTACGGTGCTCGCGGCCAGCCATGGCGTGCGTTTCGCACGTGTGCTCGTCCATTTTCCACGAGTATTACTCGCTCAGGAGCAGTGCCGCTGGGTGCTTTTCACGATCGATGCCGCGGCCACTGTGCACTGTGGGAATGCCTGCCCTTCCCATTCGCGCTGGCTCGATGGATAACGAGACTGGCGCCGCCTCGCGCCACCTGCTCTAGGTGGCCAGCTTGTGTCGGGTGGCACGAAGAACCACGTGGCCCCACGTGGCTTGGTGGTCGCAATCAACATGAAGGTCGATGATTTGACTATGTGTGCGTGATGGTCCTGCCCTGACCCTGAATCCTCAGTAGCAAAGACCCCGGTGACCGCGCCCCTACCTTCGGTGGAATCAATGATTTCCATTCGCGGGCGCACTTGAGAGCGATCACATGGCACGACGCGTTTGAGCCGCTCAGTGGGGTCGTCTCAGGCCTGTTTCTACACGAGAAGAAATACTACACATCCCCGCAAGCCCTGGACTACCCGGAAAGCAGTGCACCTGCCATCCTCCACTCCACCATTGATGTCTAAGCTTCGTCATTCTCGACGGGCCCTTCATCTGCTAAATATCAGATGTCAATGATCGAAGGAGCGTTTGGCTTTACGGCGACGGCATCTCATCGGAACCTCGTAGAGAGTGTAGTTTTCACCACCAGTGTCTGCTGATCTTCCAGCTGATCTCCCTCGCCAGGGTTGCGCTGATCTACCACCTCTTCGACGGCGCGAGGCTGTTGCGCTGTCACGACCTCGGGCGCATCGTTCCCAGGTTTCGCATGAGGTTCCACAAGAAATCACCTGCTGGGCGGCACAGATCGCGATTGAGGCAAAATAACTTGCTGACGCGAACGACTTTGGCGCTCTACAGGCATCGCGAGACGTCTTCGGCGTGGTAACGATGGACCACATGCCAACGTCAGGATCACGCTGGGGAAGCTCGACACCGACGAGGCCCGCGATCAAGATCGTTGGGCTGAGCATCTCGCAATTCGCGTGGGATCGCCTCACTTTCGCAAACCTCAAACTGCTGAGCGATGTCGAGTCCATCGAGGATGACTGCCCTCGACCTGTCTTTTTGGACCTCGGGTAACTTGAAGCGCTGCTGAAGGCGGCTCCTGGGCGCAAGGCGACTGGTCCTGACGGGCTCGGACCTGCAGTCTACAACGCTGGAGGCAAACCAGCTGCGCTTCTCACCCCAGGTGTCATGAATGCGGCTCGCCAACTTGGCCATTGCCCGCTGGCGCTGCAGGTCGGTCGCATGCAGGGCATGCGATGCGATGCGACCACAGTCGCGAACAATGTCCAGGCTTAGCTCAGACCAAGGGGAAAGCGGAAGGGGATAAAGGAAGTGAACACTAACATCAGAGGTACGTATGTTGATTCAGCCTCCGGTTGTTAAGGGATCTGGTGCAACACTATAGGACTCCCTTGCCGAACACTAACCCTGAACTGCTGGGAAACCGCTGCTGGCATAAGCAAGTCCACTGTCCGATACCTGACTGATCGGACTTGACTTGTTGAGTCCGCATTTTGTTGCTCGGACTTGTGTCGCCCCGTGAGCGGCGTGTGACAACGTTTGCGCAGAGCTCATTTCGGACCAGTCGCTGCAAGATCTGGATATTACTGAGGAGGCTTTGAGCAACACTGGCTTCATGATGACGCTCGTCACTGCAGTGAGTATGCGATATGCTGCTAGTCTAAGTTACTGGCGTATACAGGGCCCCCCTGAGCTTTCGCCCTTGGCGTGCTGTCTCCAAGGATTCGCTGCGCGACTCGTCCTCCATCGTCCGGGCCAGGAAAGGGGGCTCGGCACAACTGCGAAGCGGGCATCCTACACGAGATCGAAGATTCTGGCAAAAGTTTGGGTGACCCAAAAGAGGGTCCAGCTGCACGGGGGTGGTGCAATAGATTTGCAACAATTGAATTTCACATTTACTGCGCCGGAGAATTGCATTGTATTGTATTGCAAGTAATGTACTGCACGCGAAAATGCAGTAACACATTTGCGCCCCGGAATGTATTGCACGCCCGAAATGCATTGCACCACCCCCTTGACCCCCTTGTCGCTGGACCCCCTTTTGGGCCAACCCGAAAAAGGGAGGTCACCTCGTCGCTCGTTAGTAAAGGGTCTCGCACGACACAGGCACAACTATTCGACGCCACCGCCAAGCAACATTGTTCGGCCGTGGGGGCTGGCCCCGAGAGACCAGGAGGCCTCATAACTTTCCCTGGGGCGTTGAGAGCCTCAGGAGTCGTGGGGGCTCCAGGAACCCTCCATACCGCGGCTGACGTGTGCCCCCATGGCACGTCGAGGCGTGGTAGAATGCCAAGTGCTGTCTGATAGGGTTTCTGTAAATTTTCTTCCTAAAGGCCACCCCCCTCTCCCGTGCGCACCCAGCTGCGTTCTGCGCCCTCTGTTCCCGACGCCATTCCTTTGCCAAATAAAGCTGATTCGCACACCCGAGGCCGCAATCAATCGTAATTCTGCTCTTCCGAAGCCAGGATGCCGCCAAGACTGCCCAAGATAGCTCCAACATGGCCCACTGTCACCTTAAGGTAGAGAAGCCTTCGAGACGTCCAAAGAGAGCCCAAAGAGCCTTCCCACGAGGGCCTCGAGAGGGACAAATTATAGCTGCTCCCAAGGTTGCTCAATGTTTCTGGGGTTCGTGTCTTTTCGAGCTTCCGACGTCCCCAGACGGCCCAAGAGGCCCCCAAGACTTTCCTAAGAAGGCCAAAGAGGCCTCCAAGAGAGCCCCAAGACGGCCCAAGAGGGCTCCATGTCTGCCCAAGAGGCACCCAAGAATGCCCAAGAGGGCCCCATGACGGTCACAAGAAGGGCCCAACAAAATTCCAAAACGGCCCAAGAGGACCCCCAGGGACCCTCAAAACTGCCTCACAGGAGGCCAAGACAGCCACAAGACAACCCAAACGAGTTCCATGAGGGCTCCTCACCTAGTACAGACGAATGGTGTCACATGTGACGGCCTTCCTCTTCCTCCTCATCCTCCTGCTGATGCTCCTCCTCCTTCTCCTGCTCCTACGCCCCCTCCTCCTCCTCCTCCTTCACATGATCCTCATCCTCAACATCCTCATCCTCATCCTCCTCTTCCTCCTCCCCGTCCTTATCCACCTCCTCCTCCTCCTCATCATCATCATCCTTCCCATCAGCATCAGCATCATCGTCATCATCATCATCATCATCATCATCATCAGCAGCAGCATTATCATCATCAGCAGCAGCAGCATCTTCATCATAAGCATCATCGACAGCAGCATCAGCCGCAGCAGCATCATAATCATCACAATCAGCATCAGCATCAGCATCATCAGCATCATCAGCATCATCATCAACAGCAGCATCATCATCACCACCACCATCAATACTAATAATACTAGTACGTACAATAAACTTGTTAACGGTAATGATAACAATATTGCTAATGATAAGCATCATCAACATCAGCAGCATCAGCATCATCAGCATCATCAGCATCAGCATCATCATACGCATCAGCCTCAGCATCAGCATCAGCATGATCACCATAATCATCCTCAGCAGCATCATCAGCATCATCAGCATCATTAGCACCATCAGACACGTCATCATCGTAATCGTCATGATCATGATCATGATCATCATCATCAGCAGCAGCATCATCATGGCTCCCCAAAGCCTGGTGACACAAAGTCCCACACGTGACGGCCTCCCGTGCCCCACTCGAACAGTCGCCACCCAGAATGCTGGGCTGTCACGGTGGCGGGACTTGCTGCAGGCAGTTAGACTACTGTGTCATAACATCCCCACACCCCCGCACGCGCCTGGCTAGGGGCGGGCAAATGTGAAAAATAGCTTTGGGGTGATCATAGCTGCCACACTGAAAGCGTCATCGAGCACTGCAAGCGAAAATCGAAACCGAGTTTCGGACCCTGCCTCATTCGCCAAACTGAGGTACAAGCTGTGTGCGAAAGCGCGAAAGCTCAAGCTGGAATAGAAAGACAGACACTGGTTGGAAGCTACAGGCAGAAGCTGTTTGAACGCGTGGCCAACTGCAACGATGGAGCTAACGCTTGAGCTGACTGTTCATTCCGCGGGATGTGTTACGCCACGGCAGGAGAATCAAACTGCATGCATCACGATGAGCGCTGGCTGAAGGAAAACTGCTACAATACAACATCCGTAGTAGCGAGTGCGAGCTGAGCTCCGCAACATGAATTCTATCCAATTAGTGCAACGCCTCGCTTCTTCGCTTGATCAACTCACGACAGAAGAGGGCCATGCGGATCTCACACGATGATGGCGGTAGAAAACCGACAACCAGATCAAGCACGATCGAAAAATGAGCCACACGAGTGGCCCCAGCTCGAGGGCACCTCTCACTTCTTGCTGCCGAACTGGAAATAGAAGCCGCCGGCGATAATGACGGCCCCAGCGACGAGGTTGCCGAAGGTCACCGGGATGAGGTTCTGCCAGAAGGTCTGCGCGTACGTCATGGGCGCGCCGGCGAGCAGGCCTGCTGGCAGCAGGAACATGTTGGCCACGGAGTGCTCGAAGCCGATGCCAACGAACATGGAGATCCGCCACCCTGCCCTCGGCCCGAGGGGGCGTGTTAGGATGCCCGCCAATGTCCGTAGCAGGGTGTCTGCTGATACCTGGCGACCCCCCCCGCGTTGCAGACCCAAGCAGAGAATCACTGCGACCCCCCGAGTGGCTCTCCCGCGCCCCTCTCGGCCTGACGAGGGGCTCCAAGGAAGCCCACGACGGCTCCAACACGGCTGCAAGACATGTCCCAGGACCAGCTCAAGACGGCCCCTATGACCCCTTTCGCGCTCCGAGATCTCCCGAAGACGTCAAGGTGCCCCAAGAAGCCCTGAAGAAAACCAAAAAAACGCCCCCAGCGAGGTACGAGGAAAAAAACGAGACCCTGCAGGATGTCAGCGCTGCTGTGCTTCGAAGGCTTTTCGGGTTCACATCGCTCTAGGAATGTTTCAGAAACTCCCGAGGTGGCCAAAGACGGCCCCAAGAGGGATCCAAGGCGGCCCGAAGACGGCCCGAGAACCCCCACAGAGGGCTCTAAGATGGCAACCAAGACACGCCCAGACGGCCCCCTGATGATTCGACCAGGCCCCTTCGGCAGAGCTCGTAGAATCATGGCGCCCAAGGCGGCCCCGAGACAACCCGAACATCCCCATAAAGGCCCTCAAAAAGCAAGGATCGGCCATCGAGAGTCCTTCATGAACCTCAAAAAACCTCCATGACTCCTTGAAGAAGGAGAAAGGATCGAGCATCGAGGATAGAGGATAGATGATGAGGATGAAGATGGGGATAAAGGATGAGGATGAGGAGGAGGAGGGTGATGATGATGCTGCTGATGATGATGGTAATGGTAATGGTGATGGTGATGGTGATGGTGATGGTGATGGTGATGGTGATGGTGGTGGTGGTGGTGATGGTGATGGTGATGGTGATGGTGATGGTGATGGTGATGGTGATGGTGGTGGTGGTGGTGGTGATGGTGATGGTGATGGTGATGGTGATGGTGATGGTGATGGTGATGATGGTGATGGTGATGGTGATGGCGATGGTGATGGTGATGGTGATGGTGATGGTGATGGTGATGATGAGCAGGAAGAAATATCAGGACAGAGGAGAAGAACGAGGCTGAGGACAAGGGGAGGGAGAATCTCAGATCCGCGCCAGTCCAGACAAGGCGCTGAATTGGCACGTCTCTTCTCCTCCTCATCCTCCTCCGCCTCCTCCTTCTCCTCTTCCTCCTCCTCCTCCCTGCTGCGCTGTTAGCACAGTGGTGGGGGCTGCCGCAGGCAGCTGAATGGGGAACCAAATGCCCACCATCTTGCCCGTCATGTCCTTTGCCTGGGTGCACAGGAAGACCGCCATGCAGACCAGCCAATTGCACAAGATCGCCTTCACGAACTTCTGGCCCAGAGTACCGCTGACCTTCTTGGCAACTGTCGCAGCGGCCATTGCTCCAGTGCCACCGCTCAGCAGGCCGGTGTACCAGGCGGCAACTGCGAGCGCCCCACAACCGATGACGTTCCCGACCCAAGAAAGAAAGAAGCTCCGGAGGACGGCGCGGACCTTCACCTTTCCCTCCAGGAAAGCAGCGGACACAGTGGCGGTGTTGCCCGTGTAGAGCTGGCAGCCCGACTGGAGGACGAGCAGCAGGTTCACGGGGAAGAGGGCGGCAAAGACCATCTTCTGCACGCCCATGGCCACATCGGGGCTCAGGTTGCCGGCGATGGTGAGGGACAGCAGGCCCGCCATGCCCACATACGCGCCGCCCATGATCGAACTGTGCATCAGCTTCAGGAATGGCATGCCGGCGTTGGCTGTGCCCTTGGCAACCAGTGCCTCGTACGTCTCCTCTTAAAGGGAAAAGATATACAAATAAACTCCCCGAACGGTACTTACAATTAGGGTTTCCTTTTTCTCTTTTCAGAAATTGGCCCTGAATGTCGGTCTGGCGGCTCCGTGCTCGCAATCGCCGCCCCGTCGCCGCCCAGTCGCCGCCCGTCGTCTGGCCCTGAATGTCGGTTTGGCGGTTCCCTGCTCGCCGTCGCCTCCTCATCGCCGCATGTCGCCACCCCGTCACCGCCTACATTTTCCTTTCTAACCAGAAAATAAATTCTACCAACCTCCCCCCCCCGGGGTTATAAAGATCCCCCGGGAACCGATACGAAACACCTAAAATCCTGACCCAATGTCCATCCTACCTGTGAATTCCGATTATCCCAGCCAAACCGGTAGCGGCCCCCCCCCCGCCATCCTCTGGAAAAATGCTATGCGCGCACACTCGTTTATCAAAGATCATAGGTTTTCAAGAATCCCTTGCAACAAAACGGACGAAGCGCACACGCGCGCGTCGTCGCACGTGCATGCCGGAATCCTTCAAAAACCTTCGGTGTCGGAAGGATTTCACAATCGAGTTTCCAAATAACATACAAGAACAAAAGGTTTCGCAACACTGATGTTCTAAAAAAGCTTACGCTCGTGCTCTTGCGAAAATTATGCCGAAATCCTTCAAAAACCTTCGTCTTCGGAAGGATTTCAAAATCGAGTTTCCAAATAACATCCAGAAACACAGGGTTTCGTAACACTGATGTTCTAGAAAGGCTTACGCTCGCGCTCTTGCGAAATCTTAAGAAAACCATAGGTGTTTCAAGATTTTGGAGAAATACTACCAAACGGGCTTCGCGCGCGCGCATGTCGGAATCGTTCGAACGCCTGTGCGCGCGTGCCGTCGCGAGTCTTCTGCAAAAAACGGGACGAAGTGCATGCAGGCGTCGTCGCGCGCGCATGCCGAAATCCTTGAAAAACCTTCGGTGTCGGAAGGGTTTCAAAATCGAGTGTCCGAAAAACATACAAAGGCACAGGATTTCGCAACACGGATTTTCAACAAAAACGTGCGCACGCGCTCTTGCGTCGTCGTCGCAGTCGCCGTCCCTCCTCCCTCGTCGTTGTCGTCGCCGTCGTCGTCCTCTGTGTTTCCTAGTCGTCTTCGTCGTCGTCCTCTTTGGCGTCGTCGTCGTTTCCGTCGTCGTTGTCGCCGTGGTCGTCCTCGTTTGTTAAAATCAGTTGCAAAACATACAATCTCCTTTTGTAAAATTAAAAAATGGTTATACCATCCTCCCCCCTCCAGCACTAAAGACCCCCCCGGAACCTACGTAAAGCACATAAGATTATGACCCAATGTCCATCCTACCTATGAATTAATACTATCCCAGCCAAACCCGTATCGGTTCCCCCCGCCATCCTCTGCAAAAAACAACATGCGCGCAAACTCGTCGATCAAAAATATTAAGTTCTACAAAAAACTGCAAGAACATGACGGTTGATTATCTAAGAATGAAAGCCTAGGTTCGTTATCTTCAGATGATACCCTATGGATTATCGCCCTGTGAATGGATCGGGCTCAGCCCTCCCCCAGGCCGAATCTTCATCTTCACGGAATAATCAGCCTAAGTTCAATATTCCAACATTATGGACCAGGGTTTACTTCAGTCCGGAACGTACTCTCAAACGGCGCCCCCCAAACCCAATCATTATCATTCCAGAATAATTCAACCGGGGCCAACATGTTGGGAACATTATGAATCCGGGCTTATTATCTCCTGGAGATAATGAACCGGGGTCAATACTCCGACATGGAAAACCTGGTTGGGAACCCGGGGGGTGGGGGGAAAATAATACATATTATCATTCCGGCGAAAACCGGCTTCATTATTACCGGAACATTGTAAACCCCAGTCAATATTCCCGGAACCTTATGAACCCAGGTTAAAATGTTTTTAGGGTCGATACCCCCAGAACATGAGACACCGGGGTTTCTCATGTTCTGGTGGGAACATTATGAAGCCCAGTCAAAATTCCCAGAACATTGAAACCCGGGTTCATAATGTTCCGGGGGAAACATTATGAACCCGGGTTAATAATCCTGGAACATTATAAACCCCGGTTAATATCTATTTGGGATCCATCCTGAAGTGCACACGCGCGCGTCGGCGCGCGCGCGCATGCCGAAGTCCTTCAAAAACCTTCGGTTTCGGAAGAATTTTAAAATCGAGCTTCCAAAAACCATGCGAAAACACACGACTTCGCAACACTGATGTTCTAAGAGAGCTTACGCAGGCGCTCTTGCGAAATTTTAAGACAACCATCGGTTTTCCAAACTTTTCAACAATCTATATATATATATATACACTACCAAACGGGCTTCGCGCGCGCATACCGAAATCTTTCAAACGCCCTTGCGCGCGTGCCGTCGCGAGAATCCTCTGCAAAAAATCAGACGAAGTGCGCACGTGCGCGTCGTCGCGCGCGCATGCCGAAATCCTGCAAAAAACCTTCAGTTAAGAAAGGATGTTTAAAATCAAGTGTCCAAAAAACATACAAGAACACAAGGTTTCGCAACACGGATTTTCAACAAAAGCGTGCGCGCGCGCTCTTGCGTCGTCGTCGTCGTCGTCGCCGTCCGCCCTCCTCCCTCGTCGTCGTCGTCGTCGTCGTCGTCGCCGTCGTCCTCCTCTGTCTTTCCTCGTCGTCGTCGTCATCTTGGCGTCGTCGTCGTTTCCGTCGTCGTTGTCGCCGTGGTCGTCCTTCCTCCCTCGTCGTCTTCGTGGGCGTTTCGTCGTTGTCCCTCCGATTTCGTCGCCGTCGCCGTCGTCGTCGTCGTCGTCTTCCCTTCTCCCTCGCCGTTGTCGTCGACGGCGTCGCCGTCCTCTGTCCTTCTTCGTCGTTCGCGTCGTCGCCGTCCTCACTCCTCCCTCGTCGTTGTCGTCGTTGCCGCCGTCGTCGTCATCCCTCCTCCCTCGTCGTCGTCGTCGCCTTCGTTGGCGACGTCGTCGTCGTCTTCGTCGTCGTCGTCATCGTCGACGTCGGCGTCGTCGTCGTCGGCGTCGTCGTCGGCGTTGTCATCGTCGTCGTCATCATCGGCGTCGGCGTCGTCGTCGTCGGTATCGTCGTCGTCGTCGTCGTTGTCGTCTTCGACGTAATTGGAGACGTTGTCGGTGTCGTCGTAGTCGTTGTCGGCGGCGTCGTCGTCGTCGTCGTTGTCGCTGTCGTCGTCGGCGTCGGTGTCGTTGCCAACTGCCATGTGGTACCCACCGTCACGGTCTTAAGAGGTCTTGCGACCGAGTTGCGGGTGAGAGGGTGGGATGTTTGCACGAGCAGTGGAGATGACAGCTTCAAGTTGAGCAAGTGATTGACTGCACACCATAGATAGGGAGCCCACAAAGGACGTACACGCCCAACTACGTACATGAACACGGCCCCTCGATCCGCGAGACCCGCCGCGTGATACGAACATTCGCGCAGTGCGTACTCTCGAAACCAGCGTGGATTCATGTACGTATACGTCCTTCTTTCGCTCCTGAACGGACTGTACCACATATGTTGAATCACATGGACTGCACCACACAGCTTGCCCCACAAAGATGGCACAGCAGAGACTGCTCAACATAGATGACACAACAGCTATTGCACCGCATATATTGCACCGCGTAGATTGCACCACATAGATTGCCCAACCTACACTGCACAACATACACTCCTAGAAACACACCGTTTGGGGTCCACGCCGGCTGCCACTGTTTGGAGGTCCGCGCGGATTTCGTGGCTCCGCGCTGGACACCCCTCGCTGGCGAGCGAAGCGCGCCAGGGGCGGCGCGCCTGAGACCTGAGACGCCGCCAGAGAGGGGGGAGGGGGCAGCGCGGAAAGTTCAGGCTCATGAGCATGCTCGTGCCGATTCCTCCTCCCCCGATCCTTCGGCGTCGACACCATCTCGAACGCGGCCTTCGCGAGCGGCTTCTCCTGCACCGCGAGACCCTCCGCCGACCGCCGCAGCCCGGCGCTGCGCCTGCGGGACGCCAGCAGCGCCGCTCCGCACAGCGCGGGCGTGGCGAGCAGCAGGCCCGACAGCGGCAGCTCCGCCGGCGCCTCGGCGTGCGCCGGGCCGCTGCCGCCGGCAGCGGCGCGCAGCGCGCCCTGCCGCGCAGGCTGCTGCGCCGCCAGGGAGAAGCAGCGGCCGCCGAGGCCGAGGAGAGCACCGCCGCCGACCGCGGCGGCTCCGACGAGCGGCAGGGCGCTGCGGGTGCGCGCCGGCATCGCGCGCTCTCTCTCTCTCTCTGGGGCCGCGGGGGGCCGAGGGGTGTCTTCCACTGGGGCCGGGCTGGGGCCAAGACAGCTGTGGACTTGAGGCACCATGTGGGACCTGCTGTAGAACAGGGAGATACCGTGGACGGACCTGCCCTTCCTCCGACCTGGCACCGCGCGGAACGCCACGGCCACGCTGCCCATAGACGCACATCCACCCAGAACGTGCCCTGAGATCCGATGTCGTGATTTTTTCAATACGGGGTTCCCTGAAGTCACGACCCATTCCTCAGGACCGGATTTTCATCCTGAGTCGTTTTTTGACGGTCCCGAGGCCCGGCGAGGACCCCAAGGGGCCGAAATTTGCGAAAAACCTCCGTCTTGATTTTTTCATGACGTTGGATCTCTGGGTGTCGACGGACGTCGCGGCGCCCGGTGTGTCCACGGACGCTTTCGGCTAGGCCGCGTGCATCGGCCCCAGCTGCTGGCCGTCTGGAAGCAGGTGGGCGTGGCCCTCCGACCGTGGACGTCGGCAAGTGAAGGGGCCCTGGGACACACAAAAAAGTAGACACAAGTAACAGGGTTCCCCATGTTTTCCCATGTGTTTCTGGGTCTTTGTCTTCCCCCCCCCCCACCTTCCCATATGTTTCCCATATTTTCTGGGGAATCGACGATGAATTGTGTCTCTGTGTGCTTTTGTTTCCCTCCCGAGCAGAGGCCACTGGCGGAGAGGGCCAGGCACACGGTGGCGAGCGCGAGCGAGCCAAGTGCGGGGCAACAGGCGAGGCGCCTGGGGCAAGCGCGGGACGGCAAGAGGCTCGCGGACTCGTTCCGAACGGCCGCAGGGAGCGCCCTGCTTGCCCGCTGCACCACGGGCGGTGCCCTGGAAACTTGGGTCGGGCCCGTCCTCCCACAGGCGGATTGTGGACGACGAGTAAAAAATAGCCCAAAAATCATCAAAAATAGTCAGGAGAGCGCGACTCGCGCGCAACCCTGATGGGCTCTCCATTGCCGGCATGTGGGCCCAAATCAGCACCACGAGCAATCGCAGAGGCAATGGGATATCGAAATGAAAGAAGCGAGCTGCAAGGCAAGCGTTGCAGCGCCACACGCGGAATCAGCACCAAATGTGTTGCCGCGGAATCGTGTGGACTTCGGGCGCAGGGCAGCGAGGAGCTGAGCAAGAAGGCACTGCGCCCTGCAAAGAGTCCCTGAACATCCGACGCTCGTGGGAAGCTCACATTGGATACGTCAACACACGCCACCTGTGCTCAACGACGCAATAACGCAAAAAACGTCACCAGGCTATGTTTTTACTATTCTTACATATTCCTCCTGTAGAGGGAGATGCCGAACTTGAACCTAAATTTGAAAAGCGTCATGCCGCTAGTTGCACCAGAGGTTGCGCCCTCGGCCGCCGACACGTGGACGTCCTGCTGTGGGTTGCGCCATGGGTTGCGCCACCCGCCGCCAACATTGGAAAAACGGTGTGCTGTTGTTTGCGCCATGATTCGCCCTTGGCCACCTAAACTGACAACGTCATTCTTCTTTCGGTGACAACTCATGGAAGCCTCCCATACCGTCTTGTCCGCTCTTGCGAATCGACGCTAGTCGACGCTGAATCGACGCTAAATCGACGCTGAACCGACACTGAACCGACGCTAATCGACGCTGACCGACGCTAAATCGGCGCTATCTCATCGACTCCTAGACGCTAATCGACGCGAATCGACGCTGAAGACAGAATTGAGAGGGTGATCATACCAGGCTCCCATGACTTGCCGCCGAAGGCCACCTAACCTGACAACGCAACGCGAATGGTTGCGTCATAGGCTGCACCCTCGGCCCCCGCAAAGCAGGCGCCCTGCCGCTGGTCGCGCCATGGGGTTGCGCCCCTGGCTGCCGAAACTGAAAACAACGTGCTGCCGCTGGCTGCGCCTCCGGCCGCGTAAACTTGAGGCAGCCGTCCGGTGCTTGTGGGACGCACAGAGACATACTAAGTACTAGATGCCCTCCTCGGAGGCGCGCGTCCGAGCCGAACATATGCACGGAATGTCATGCATCTTGTAGCATCCCGCTTCCCGAGCGGTGCGGCCAGAAAGCGCCGCCCGCCACGACGCACGCACTATGAGATTTCTCCGCGCGCGCGTCGCCCCCGGGGGGGGGGGGGCGACGCACACACAGTATCAGCATCTTGGGGCGACGCCGAGCTTGTGTTAGGTCGGGCCTGTCCCCCTACAGACAAATTTTGGACGAAAAATAAAAATTATCCTGGCGAAGGTCTCAACCATATGCAGTTGCGGGTACCGCAATTGTGAATATCTGCTTCGGTGAAGCTCCCTATGGGGCCACGAAGCGCCGCACTGGGCGGGGGGGAACGCTGTACTCTGTGGGTGGTGTGCCGAATTTGGTTTCCGGGACGCATGCGGACGGTCCCACCGAGGGCTTCGGTGGAGCTCCCTCTGGGGCCACGAAGCGCTCTACTGAATGAAAATGCCAAATTAGGTTTCCGGGACCCATGCGGACGGTCCCACTGGGGGCTTCGGTGGAGCCCCCTATGGGGCCACTGCGCGGGTGGAAATGCCAAATTACACTTCCCGGACGCATACGGACGGTGGCACCGGGGGGCCTTGGGTGGAGCCCCCTATGGGGCCACGAAACGCTGCACTGGGTGGATGAAAATGCCAAATTGGGGTTCCGGGACGCATGCGGACGGGGGCACTGGGGCTTTCGGTGGAGCTCCCTATGGGGCCACGAAACGCTGTACTGGGTGTGCGGGACGCATGCGGACGGTAGCACTGGGACCTTCGGTGGGGCTCCCTACGGGGCCACGAAAAGCTGAGCTGGGCGTGCGGGACGCATGCGGACGGCAGCACTGAGACCTTCGGTGGGGCTCCCCATGGGCCCACGAAACGCTGTACTGGGCGTGCGGGACGCATGCGGACGGTAGCACTGGGACCTTCGGTGGGGCTCCCTATGGGGCCACGAAACGCTGTACTGGGTGGGTGAAACGCAGGGAGGAGGGGGAGGAGGGCCACGAAACGCTGTACTGGGTGGGTGAAGCGCAGGCAGGAGGGGTAGGAGGGCCACGAAACGCTGTACTGGGTGTGCAGGACGCATGCGGACGGTAGCACGAGGAGGGGGCAGAGGAGGAGAGGAGAACGCGGGGCGACGTCTCTTCGAAACGAGGACCCAACACCACAGGATGGTTGGGAAATAATCCAAAAATACTCCCAAGATGGCCAACAATAGTCAAAAATTCGTCCCCAGACTATTTTTTGACTACTTTGGAACATTC